TACATTTCAAATTGTATGAAAACGACAGACTAAAGTATGTAATAATGAAATGATCGAGAACATTTGTCATCTTTATTGTTTTCGCGTGTAAGTTGCGAACAGTGCCGTTCAAGCAGTTAAAGTAGGAAACCCATCTGCTGACGCGAGAAAAAAAATACTCCCTTCCGCCCAACCCCTGATCTCAGCTCCATTCTCGATGTGGGGTAGAAGCGCGCGTGGGCGCCGTAACGTTCTCGCGTAGGCGTACGGCCTGTTGCGGGGGCTGAAACTAGGCGATTGGGGATGAATAGCGAACGAGGGGAAGGTAGAAGCCGGAGAGAGAATCTCTTCTCTCTCATGGCGCGCTAGGCCGTGCTGATTTCGTCGTGAGATCGTTCTTGGATTTTTATCCCTAAACCCGTAATCATAATTTATATAAATTTTGAGAATCAAGAGGAAAGCAGTTAAAATGTGCCTTCAAATTAAGAAACCCTTAGATTCCAAGTTTATTATACTTATTATATATTACATCTTCAACTATATTTCTCGCATGAATTTTATTTACGATTTGAATGAAAATTTTCAAAAATTCAAGCACTAAGTTATTATGGCATATGAAATATATATTAATAAAAATAAATTCAAATTCGAAACGCAAACATTGAAGTGAATACGAGTTAGAATTCAACAGTTTATTATTAAATTTGTCACTTTTTAATAATACAGCTTTAGATTAAAAAATATTCAAGATAAAGGAGTCCGAAACTCGTTTTAATTTTACGTTTCTATTGAATTTTTATTAATTTCACCGCCTTTTATCTTTTTGCTGTTATTACAATCTAATCTTTTAATCGTTGTGCCAATTTCTTTTATTGGAACGTTCGCATTGAGAAAGTAAATGTTTGAGAAGTGGAGATTGAAACGATAGATACCTATATATACATATAATGTATCGGCTGAAAATACACACAGTTCTACTACTTAAGTATACATGTTCCTGCCATAGACCGTAGAGCCGCGTTGCGTATAACGTCACCGTTTGAAATGCCAAAGAAAACTATTCCTATGACGTTTGCATAACTATCACATTAAAATTAAAGACAAGGTAACGTCATCATAGACATTACATGACGCAGCGGGGTTGCTATGCCCAGTAGTGTTTTAACTTTCTATTAATTCTACCATCTGTGGCCTGTGTTGCGATGGGATACTAACAATAGCGAATCGTATTAGTTTTCTTTTATACTGGTATTTTAATTTAACGCTAGATTGAAGATAAGAATGCTAGATTATATCTCCTGCTCTTATATAAATTCATGAAGAAAATTATAAATATGAAAAGCTGCAGAACAGAAATAGCTTAATAGAGAATGTAAATAATCTTGTAGGTTATACTTTGCAGATTCTCCTCGATCCTGTTAAGGTGAAGGCTGCATTCTTTCAAGATGAGCCGTGTATATTTAACGGTCGCGTTGAGTTTCAAGGGCTAATGAGAGAGCATAAAGACCTATGCCCTTTCGAAGAAACGTCGTTTGGATTACAGAAATATTGAATTACAGCAATAAGGATTTGTTATCGTAAAGGATGACTAAAGATGCCTTTGTATTCTTTTCCATTTTACAAAGGATATGGATTTCTATATAGAATTCAATAATATCTCGAGAAAATGTCTCGATATAAAAAAGATGGCTTTAATTTTTATTTATTTTATTTATTTTATTTATTTTAATTATATTTTAAATAATGCTTTTTATATTAATAGCATTATTTTAATTGAAAATGATCTCATTAATTCAATAATAATATTAATGAAACAAATAAAATTTTATTCAAACAATAGCATGACGTATTCATTAATAGTATTAATGAATTAATAAAATTATTTTCAATTAAAAATGCTGCACTTGATGTAACGTTATTTTTTTCACTGTAGATAAATTTAAATCTATAAAAAATAAATAAAATACAATTCAAATCTTCGTGATGATAAAAACTCGATGTTAAAACTTTGTACAAGTATATCAGAATTTTTTTGGAGTTGTTTTATAATATAAAACAATAAAAAAATTGTTTTTCAAAGATTTCTGTTACTGATGAAATAATTAAAATTCACATTGCCGAGGGAAGCTTATAATTAGAGGAAAAAAATTAAAGATTACATTATTCTAATTATCAACGAGGTGCAGAATACATGGACTTTCCATCCACGTGTTGAAAAATATTCTAAAAAAAAAAAATCATTTATTTGAAAAGTGCCAACTAAATATTTATTAAAATAAATATAAAGATATATTTATTTGGCACAAAATCATTAATTTAATTTAACTATTATTTCTTTTGATTGCAGGGTAAATATTTATTTATTTGTAAATAAACATTCAGTTCGCACTATTTACAATAAATAAATATTTATTAAAATTTATTTTTAGAATATTTTTTTCTTAGTGACTATCAAACCGATGGCGTTCGATAACGGCAAAATCTTATGGCTCCGATAATGTCGGCTGACAGGCTTTCGACAGCAAAATAACAACATAATTCCCACGCATAGTGATTCTTACGGTGCCACGTAAAAAGCCGGGGATTCATCGGGAAGACGTAGTTGGGTCATCGCGTGGGCAGAGACGTCCCTTGTATCAACGTGGGATTCGTGTGCGCGGCACTCACACGCACCGCCTGCTGTCGTGTGCCATGCGAGGAAACGTAGCGCGCGCGCAGCCAACGGCGTCGTCGTAGGGTGCTCTCACCACCACGAGACGAGAGAGACGGGGAATGCTTCACCAAGGTGGGGGTTGGTTGATCGACCGTACCCCGCTTTTCTACTCGTCCTGCCGAGCCCCGACATTCATTCCACCCCGAGCCGGCGGATCTGCTAGGACGTGCCTGTTCTCCACTCGGGTGCCAGTCGAAGGATCATTGCGAGACTCTCGAGAGAGGAAGGGACAATCGTACAAGGACAAACTCGGCGAAATTACTGCATCTCGAAAGGTAGACAAATCCTCACTTCTTCGTGTAGTTTCTTTTTTCCATTCTTCATTTCGTTCTCGATAATTTCAGATGAAAAGAATCTGAAATTTGAAATTTGTAATTGTAAACGCATTTTATCGTCACGTAGTCAGCCACTTTCGGCACATTCATACAGGTAGGTGCGCACGGCTCCGCACGAGTCAAATTTCATTTTATCTCAATGAATGTTATTCAATTTTAGCAGAATATTTGCAGAATTAGATTCACATTTCTATATCTATTTTAAGAAATTTGAACAGCTGGCTACGTGCGCACGCGCGTGTGTGTGTGCGTGCGTGCGTGCGTGTGTGCGTGCGCGCGCTCGCGCGCGCGCGTGTGTGTGTTCGGGATTAAATGTTGCTTTATGATTTCGTCATTGATCCTCTTTGAAACGATAATATATTTGTGTTTGCCATATTGTTATAATAAATTAAAATTAATTATGACGATAACGTGTGCGTGAGAGAAGGCTTTTATGCACACTTAACTCGTCAATGAGATTCTCATTCAGTGAAATGCATTTTTAATTGCGATTTACCTAGCCGTGTAGCTCGTATACGCCGATAAATGACTATAGTATTTGTAGATGCAACAAGTGTACGATTTCTAGGTCTACTATATCCGGTTTGACGTTACTACACGGCTCGCTTTAATTGTCAAACTTCGCCATTCGTTTTCGGACTTAGGCGAATGTCAATTCCGAGAATAATTCCCAAGCATTTAATCCAGTGATCGTTTAATTGAGAACCGCGCCGCAATGTCAATAACGAAACTGTTGCGAAAACACAGTTTCAACTGTGACATTAATTTCTATTTGTTCCATTTAAATAACGTTTAATCCATATTGATCCGGACATGGATACCGTCTATTATCAAGGCGAGTGAAATCTCAATTATATATCACATAAAATGCGAAATTAAGTGACCTTTATATGCGCAAAAAAGAAGTCTACTGCAAAATTCGAAAGGTCAGAGGTCATATATTTTTCAGTACTGAATCCGATGATTAAACTTCCTGGATATTGCGTATAAATTGCGAGCCATTTGCTTTATACGAAATTGCGTGGAATGCAATATTCGAGATTGTCGCTATACTGTAGATACGCAATTTTGCAAATACATATCGTTTTCCGCACGCAATTTTGAACTCTGACATTTCCATGTAGCATCGTCTGCACGCTCGCCACTCTCCGCAGCCATTTCCAGCATCACCATTAGAGTTTCACGTAATTACGCGGGTTAACTTACCCTCAGAGGCAGTTCGTAATTCATTAATGAGAAGCCAATTGAGAGCAATTAAGTAGTGTAATTCGATCGTGCAACACGCGAAAACTTCCAGAATTATAAAATTCTTGATAAATCGAACAGCCGCTAATGAACTGCTGATTATAAATACATAAATTTATGCATGTTAGATTAAAATAATTGTGCAAAATCGAATCGAGTCGGTCAGGATTTTCTACTGAAAATAACAACTCCTCTCGCTCCTTTATAGGATATTTATTATTTCTCAAGGAATCTTTTTATACACACGTGGAGCTGCATATCGCCGTCACGCGATAAAACAAAAGTTCGATAAAGTCAACCTATCAAGTTACATACATGTATGTGACGTAAAGCGGCTGGGAAACTCTCTTGTTGGTTACGTCATACGGTAACGTCAACGTCATAACCGAAGAAAGTAAACCGCGTCGATTACATGAAATCGTGACGTCGTTGGTCGCTGTGACGACGGCGTCATATCTGAAGATATTTTATTATAGAACTCTCAACGACGTAATATTTTTATGTAACCGCAAACATATGCACAAGATCCTTTATCGAGCGCCCTTGTTGCTTCTACACTCGTCTCTCCACACACAGTGGAAATAGACTCTCGACATTTCGCATTATATGACATTTACATATTTAAGCTTTCTTAGTACGGTGACCCAGTAACTAATAAAATTCCGCAGCAAAAAGACGAAAATCGAGACACAAGATGTCTTTAAAACATCTTTTTCTAATTTTAATTAGAAAAAAATTAGTTGAACCGAGATGAAAATTAAGCTGCATTAGTAGAAACAGATATAAGTTAAACTTAAATAGCCAAGAAATATATCAAATTAAGAAAAAAAATGATGATTTTTGGTTACAAAATTTGATCATTTATTAACATTAAGAATTAAAATAAAATCATTTTGAGTTTTTGTTGATTTTTATGTATTTCTTGGGTAAATCATGAGGCCTGTTCTTTTTAGTTGAATTTCTTGCATGGTTCATCTTTTCTCTTTGTCTCTCCAACGTAACGTGGAAAGAAAAGAGAGAATGAACTGTGAAAGAATTTTAGGATAAAAGAACAGATCTATGGTTTATTTTAGTCCTGCGATTACTGGGGTCGGAAATCCGATGTCAAGAGGAAGAACTCGGGGGTGGGAGACACGAGGCGCAAAAAAAGAGTGTCGCGAAGCTCTGACCCTGAAAACTGTGCGTCATCGCGAACGCAACGGTAATGAGAATCCCGCAACTTTGTCGCAGATGACGTGTAACTGGGCGTGGTTGTTGCTGCTGCTGTTTTCGCTAGTCTTGGTAGGCATGTGCCTGCCTACGAGCCTGATGGAGGACGCGAAGAAGACGGACCAGGTCATGAAGCCGAAATGTAAGGCTCGAGATTCAATCGCATATTTTTCGTCGAGATTGAATTATTTTTCGATTTTTATTCACTTTCGATTCGCTTGAACGCCTCGCAATGTCGCTTTCAGCAAAACGAACCCAGGAGATACTGATGTTCGGTAACCAGCAGAATCGACAGGCTGCTAATGCTGCCGCCGTCGCTGCCGCCGCTGAAGAATCCTTCACGTCAAACACAGAAAAACGTAAGTTACTTATTAATTCTTCACTATTCGCGTGATTTTTTGTAATTAATTATTCGTACTTGGGATGTTTCTGATCATGTTATATCTCAATTTTCATGATTTCATTCCTTTGGTTACAATTAAAAATTGATAACATTCTATAGATTTTTTAAAAAAACTTTATTTTTAAAAAGTAAATATTATCAAGTGAAGCATCGAATTGATGTCGAATTGATATAAATACGATGATTTCAACATCAATTTGATATTGATTCGACATTTAATTGACAATCATTTCTTGTTGGATAATTAAATATTTGTACAATCTATTTTATTCTTTATGAAGAATCTTTCATAAAAAATAAAATAGACTGTATGTTTCTTAAAATTACATCAAATTAATTATAACCAAAAAGATGTGTATTAATTATATAAATATATCATCAAAAATAAGTGATAATTAAAAATTGTTTGAATGCTCAAAAAATATTTGTACAAACGAGAAATTTAATTTCTAAAAACAGGCATACATGCGAAGCTTGTTTGTTTAAAACAGAATATATTAATTGTATAAAATTGCTAATTAATGTTTATTTTCTACAAATAAGATTTTTTTTATAACAAATTTCCTTATACGAATACTTTTTGCTCTCACTGTACATTGTTATTGTGATTTTTTTTAAACATAATTACTTGCGTGAAGTGTTTTGACACTTCATGTTTTATATTAATTTTCATGCAATTCTCTTTGATTATTTATAACGAAAATTGATAACATCTTTTAAAAATAATTATTCGCGTGGAATATTTCTGATACTACGTTTTATCTCAATTTTCACGGTTTCTCTTCGATTATTTCCAATAAAATAAAAAATAAAATAAAATTTATAACATTCTTTAGATAAAAATACATATATTCATGTTTATTTTTAATGTAATTACTCGCTTGGGATGTTTCTGACACCCCAAAGTTATATCTCAATTTTCACAGTCCCTTTAATAATTTATAATTAAATAAATATTTATAACATTTTATAACATTCTTTAGATAAAAACATATCACTCTTGTGGTTTTTTTAGCGTAATTACTTGCGTGGGAAGTTGTGTTTCAACGTTATATCTCAATTTTCATGGCTGAGTTCACAAATCGATTTGAATTCAACTTTTAGGACCGTTTGGTATCTACTAGATTTTCTATTGATCTATTGATCGAAAGATGATCAAACAGTTTGAAAATTCAATCGATATTGATTTGATTTCGACTTATGAATCAGGGTCCTCTTTAATTATTTACAATTGAATAGAAATTGGATGAAAATAAATAACATTTGTAGATGAAAATAAAAAACAATTTTTTAAAAATTAAACATTTTGCGCTAAATATGTATAACAATGTGTACCTTCCAACAAGCGACACAGTGCGATCATGTCATCTTTGTTTAACATTGATAAACAACAAGGATATAATGATCCACTGTGTCATTTGTGTCGCTTGTTGGAAGGCACACGATATGTACAAGTAACATGCATACATTTAGCGAATTTATAAGGTGACCGAGTGTCCTGGATATCTCACGCGAGTAATAAAAGGTTAAAACATACAATATAATTATAGCGTTATATAATCCAGCGAATACTGTACGAGGATTATCTCTGGAATTCATTTACGTATGTAGGAACTCTCGCTGCCTCGGGGCTGGGAGGCTTGAAAGCAGCTCTCGCTGAGGACGATAAACCATCCCTGGCTCAGAAATCACCCAGCAACACTATGTACGAGCACGAGTCGTACTCGCCGTACGATAAGAATTACGAGTAAGTCTAGTTTTCGCGTCAGGGAAGATAAATTATTCAGAATTCAATACCTCGAATTATGTAACTATTTCAATGTTACGTTCGATTTGATCGACAAACGGAATAGATTTTTTTCGCTTTGTAGATTATTAGATTTTTAGAACTTAGCCTATATTAATTTACCTTGTATTAATTTACCTTGAATGCCATGCGATATTCGAGAGCTTCACTTACTTAGAGCTTTATTTACTTTTCTTCGTTATATGATACAGATTTTTAAGAGATGTTTTAAAAACGTTCAGATAAAGCATGCTATATAGAATTATTGTGCTTATATTACATTTAATATATTTCCTAATATTTTAAGGCATTTTATTAGACTGGTATTATATTTATACCTATAATATTTTTTTTATATTAATATTTCTAATTTTTCTAAATTCTTTGAAATTAATCTTATTTCGAAAGAATGAAATCTCATTCTTTTTCGAGAATTTCATTTCAAAGAATTTAGAGAGTATATTATTATGTTAATATATGTATATTTAATATTTTATGTTGTCTCTCTCTCCCAAAAATATAATATAATATTAATAATAATAATATATTATAATACAATATATATTAATATAATATCAGTACAATAAAATGCCTTATTTTATTATTACAAAACATAAGTATCTTTCTTGGCATTTAATGAATAACAAAGACAATAGTCTTGAATCGACTTGTGTCCCTAATGGAAAGTGTCCAGCGTTACCTTGATCTGTAAGATTCGCCATAACGAGAATTATTTGTGTCTCAGCTACGGAAAAGTCATCGTGAATGAGGTCGAGGAGGACGTACCACGGGTGTGGGACACAGTGCCGTATTCGCGGTATTACGCAGGTGAGGATCGGCGCAAGAGATCGGAAAAGTCCACCGCGACCGCGCGACCGAGCACCACGTTGCAGCCTCCGACGAGTTTGTTCCAAACGAGACATTTACCCAGCCTTCTGCCTACTCCGCAACCAGTACAAGCTCAAGTTAAGAGAAGGTAAGTGGCCGCGTCCTACTTGCTCCTAATTCTCCCTCGAAATCGATAACCCCACGTCGATCGATATTCCCGGGAGTAACCGCTGTTAGATTGCGGTAGATAACGAAATTCTCGAAAGCGAGTAAGTGGATGGCTTCATTTTATTTTGCCACGCTTATTTCATGAACGAAATTGTGAAACGTTATTTAGTTGGAAGTCGATTTGCTAAGGTCACACGGCCTCTCTGTACACCAGACTGATATTAAATTGTTGCATCGGTGATGAAATATCGGAAATCGAGGACGCGAAAATAAGTTTTATGAGAGTTAATATACGATTCTCCCTCTTTCTTCCTTTCTTTCTTTCCTTATGATACTGTGAATTAAGAGCTGTACGTGCACAATCCCAGATTAGATAGAATCACATACAGAATCACAATTAAGTCATAATGATATCATAGGACATCATCAAGATTTGATATTTAAAAATGAACTTATATATAAATGATAAATAAATTCACGAAGACGTCCTTATGATATTCTTATGACTTCTGTATTCTATTTGAGATGGAAGAACGTTAGGAGCAGGAATAAGCATCAAGATTTGAACCAACCAGAAATCAATTACACCGGAATACATGGCTTTTAGTAGGTTAAAAATCTCAATATTGTATTTCTATTCCTAATGTTTCTTTCATTGTGCGCAGGGCTTTACCCTCGGAGTCGCGCGCGTTGCTGAGTTGGCATGATAACGGAAACCCCCTCATGTAAAGTGAGGATCGACTCGATGTACCTCGGCGCGCGAGGGCTATGCATCACCGTGCGCGCCCTTTCCACCCTTTCCACCCACCAAGCATCCCTCTTTTCCTCCAGCGTTTCTTCTGAATGGGTATGAGAGGACTTGTGAGGGCGTTGCCCTCGGTGCAGGGACGGCGGCGGTCGATCTGACGACCGAAGTCGTATCGAACCATTTGTAGAGAGAGAGAGAGAGAGAGAGAGAGAGAGAGAGAGAGAGAGTGAAAGAGAAATTGTCGTCGAAGACCATATCAGTAGCGTACGTTCGACTGGTGCTGTTTAAAATTGCAGCCGAATGAAATCATCAGAAGTTTCGCATCCAGTATCTTGATGTATTAATTCGCCAATCGCTTGATGTTGATCACTCATACAGCACAGATCATTCCAGCAATATTACAGTAATATTGCAACGTATGTCTCAATAATAATAATGATAATAATCTTTAATACTATACAACAACTTATATCCAGAATCGAAAGAAAATTAAAAGAAGACAAAATAAATGCAGGAGATATATTATAAGTAAAGATAAGATGTTAGCAAGATTGCTGCTACGAAGCCTAAATATTATAATAAAATTGAAAATGTTGCAAGAATGTTGCTGCAAGCTTCTGTGATGTATAATAGTCAGATCAGAGGACGAGAATCATTTGATAGTAACGATAATTAACGATCTCACTCGTCGCATTTTTTGGCTGGTATTATATTTATCATATAAGAAATTTTTTCGAGTCTGGAGATCGATTGTGTATTACGAAATGAGATAAAAATTGCAAAAGTAAGCAAATACATTAGAATAATTTCATAATTTAATTAGTCAATATCTAGTGAATTTGCTCACTTTTGTAATTTTTACCTCATATCAAGATCGGCCTCCAGTTGATTGATTTTAAGATAGAGAAATTCGTAAATTTTTCTATTCTGTTACCAATTAAAGGATCATCTACAATGGGAGTAATGTGGTGCAGTAATTAAAGCCGTAAGAAATCAACCGATTACAATTGAATGAGAATAATCAACTACAATTGGTCAATTTTTTATCGCTTATTACTTACTATACAATGGGTACTTTCTAGCAAGAGACGTGATGTGACACAGTGAATCATTATATCCTTATTATTTATCAATGTTAATCAGAGATGAAATGATCACCGTGTTACACCGTATGTCTTTTGTTAGAAAGCATCAGATATTACCTTCATTGTAGATGGCATAACAGGCATAACTTGAAAAATTTGTATGACAAAGGTATATTATCTTTGATGTGTCCCTCCCTCTCTTCCAATGAAAGCAAATGAAACGGATAAGATGTTACGACGCTTAATAACGCAACGTTTATGTTCGGCTCGCAATCGCGCGACGGCGCGAGATAAAAATACGCTTTCCCGTTGAGCGCGATGCAGATTTATCGAGAGCCGAATCTAATTTCAGGAAATCGCGTGAACACGCGAGCCCTCGATATCGAAGCCGTAAAAGCGCTTCGCACGGAATTGCCTAAGGTGTGTTTAAAATTAAACACACATACATGGGACCTGCCGTCGAGCAGGACATTATTATCGTCTCAAAGTTAACATCGCCATCGCGGCCCGTTATTTTTACACGAAAAATGTGCGGGAATGCATTGCCTGACTGTCACAAATGTCATAGGTCACCCCGGACGAACACGACAACGATTAATTTTTTCCTCGATAAAATTCTCATAACGCGGTAACCGTTTCCATTATAGTAAACGCGATTACATAACGCGTTATCCTTAGACGCGAGTGCTATAATAATAGAAGCACTCGCCGTTAAAAGCACTTTGAATATATTTTCATGAAAAAGAATGCGTGTTGCGCGCCAGCGAAGAAAATTGCATTAAAATTTCTTTGGCCAAGATCTCATAGAAATTTCATTTAATATAATTAATAATATTTATACAATATTATAATTTATATTACAATTCTGATTTCCAATTTTATTACATCGAATTAAATTAAAATTATGAAAAAAACTGATTTAATCAAAGACAATGGTATCTAATTGCTTAACTCATACAAAAATTCTGTTCTCTCCGATTCTCGACATTTCAACGAAAGTATCTTTGAAATTAATCAGAGAATTAAAATTGAAATTGTAGATCTCGGCGTGACTTTGTCGGAATCTTCAAATGTCTAAAAGTAAAAAAGAAATGCTATTGTTCTCGCGAATTAACGATCCGTGGCTTGGACCTTCCTCGCATATTCTCACGGAAAAAGAGAGAAATAATAAGACAGGAATAATGCCTGCGTGCAGCACAAAGCGAGCGTAGAATTTATGTCCACTTCTATCAAGGTACATGTAGATTAACTTTAATCTCAGTTTAACTTATTCTATAAAATTTTTAGAATGAATTGTCACTCTGAAGAGTGAAATCTTACTCTCTTAAGAATTGAAAACTGAGCCACTCTCTTTCAAGACTGGCTCAATATTCGCTCTTTAGAGGAAGATTCCATTCTAAAGAATTTAGAGAGTACTCTTTATTTTTTTTTAATTCCAATACATTTCTATATTTAATTTTAATCTTGGTTCAACTAACATTTCATCTTTTCTTAGTTCAAAGAATTAGAAAAAAATAAACAGTAAGTTGAATCGAGATTAAAGTTAATTTCCAGATAGCACAGAGAATTGAAAAGGAATTCAGTCATATGTCATCATCAGTTCTGAGTTTATTTTCAGATGCGAAAAGAATACTTTTTCAGAAAAAGAATTCTTTTTGCATCTGAAAACGAACTCAAAATTCATGAGGTATCAAATTCTTTTGAATCCTTTTTGAAACTCTCTGTGCTATCTGGATTCTATATTGGTAGAAATGGGCTTTAGATAAATGTACGTGTTCGCCTGTGCATACGGCATCGTGGCCGCGCACACCCACACAGGGGAGAATTTGGTGCAGTGCACGAATCGCTCGATACGCGTGACGCAAGTGGTAGTGGAGTGGTGGTGGTGGATGAGTATCAGCGAGAGAGAGAGAGAGAGAGAGAGAGAGAGAGAGAGAGAGAGAGAGAGAGCGCGCCTACGAAAAGCTGAATGGAGCCGGGATGGAGGCGAAAGTAGGTCAGAGCTTGATTATTCATCGATAGCCGTTCAGCGACCAATCTCTGGCAAGCACACCCCGCGGATTTATCGATGATACTTCCGGCTGCGACAGGATGAGCCTCCGCTGCATTCCACGTACTGTTCTTCCGTCGACGATATAATAATCCTGCTGACGCATTAGACAACAGCTCCGCCGTCCTCGTTTCGAGAGTTTGAATGGAGGCGTTCCGTCGGATGCAGATCAATAAAGGAAATGTCGACGTAATGAACTAGATTAATCGATTAGAACAATTACAAGCGGCACGTGCCGAAAAACTAACGTTAATGAGATAAAAACGTCGAGCTCTTTCAGCACATCTAATGGCAAGAGAACCTCTCGAAATGTTAAATTATGATTTTAATGAAATTTTGTATACAGGTCACGTAAATAAATGAATTTAGAAAATATCCATTGCAACTAATAAATGGTTTTAAAGAGTGAAAATCGTCTTTTACACGTAAAGCAGGTTTTTTTCATAAAAAAAATGTTTTATATGAAAATTTTATAGTAAAAAATTATCCTTTCTATACATCATAATATGTTCAAAAAAAAATAAACATATAATTTTTAAAAATATTATTGACGTAGATGAATAAAAATAATTTTAAAATTTTTATATAAAGTATTTTTGATGTCTTTAAGAATTTTTTAAGTATTGTATAATAAAAAAAGATGAAAATTGCTTTATAGATAAAGGACATCTCTTAATTTCCTTCAAACTTTACACAATATAAAATTCGCTTTTTCAGTCTTGCAAGGTTCATTGAATCAATATAATTTTTTACAGTTTACAATGCACACATTTCTTATACAAAATAGAACTTTGTCATAAATTAATCGTCTAATATCCAGTTCTATGATCAATTTTAATCTCGATTTAATTTATCCTTTATCCTCTCCTGTTAATCCTTAGACTTTGAAAAGAGAATAAAAAATAAGTTAAGTCAAGATTACAGTTAATCTGCATTAATAAAAATAGATATAAAATGAAATTAAGACAAAATCGAGACGGAAGAATTAAAATGGATAAACAGTAGTAAGATCCGACGTGTGATCAGCCTTGGTGGCGCAAAGGCCGCGAAGGGCCAGAGTCCTTACTACGCTCTGATAAATGTCGAAAAGCTGAATGAAAGTATCCTACGTTTTTGGCACATAGCCAACTTATCAGTTAATCAGCGTTAGTCTCTGCCAGGCATCACTATCGATCGCTTTATCGCGTAAACGCGATGTGTAATAACTAACGAACACGTAAAATTCAACAAAAAATCGAAATGATTTTATTCTGATTCTTAATTTCAATAAGCAATAAAATTTTTTAACCAAAAGTCATTTTGGCGTCATGAAGGTCAAAATTTTTTAATTAAAAAATTTGACTGTTTATTGATTAAGATTTTAATTAAGATTCAAAATAAAGTTATTTTGACTTTTGTATTTCTTGAGTTGGATGACTTTCTCTATTAATCAACAATGAACGACGACAATTGTCGCCGTAACAATCGTTTCTCACCATCGAAGGCGCGTATTGTCCGCAGTATTGTCCCCGAACTCGTTGTATCGAGTACAAGTTTGAATGCTACCGTGAAACTCGTTCACACAAAGGACAGTCCGTCGACAGCGAGATAAAGCGCCGTTCGTGCTGAAGAATAATAGCGCGCGATGTAGGGACGAGTTGTCTGTCGCTTTGCATCACGAATAAGCATCGATCAATCTTGAAATATAGACACTGCGCGAACACAGGAATAATGAATTCACGAAGCGATTCCGAAACGAGATTGCGAGACATCGATCTGAGCATCGTCGGAAAAACGACAATTTTTGTAGCCACGATTCGATTAGATCGTCGTTTCTCCTTGACATATCTGTTTAGCATTATCGCGACAAGTGAATCCACTCGCGAATCATTACAAACTACATATTTCATTAAGTATTGTACGTTTGTAAGTTTTTACCTGAATAGAAGTACATGATGACTATTTAGATCTGTACTATTAACCCTTTATTATTTAACCCGTCATTTGAAATATCCAGGACACCTTATAAATATGCTAAATGAACGAATGCTATTTGTACATTATTATATTTAGTGCAAATTGTTTCATAATTAAACAATTTTTTTTACATTTTTTTTACAATATGTTTATTTAGAAAATGTATAGATTATTATCAATTATTTAAAAACTCTGCTGGTCTGTTCAGATTTATTTGAATCTAAATGTAATTTATTTTCTTACTAATATATTATTTAAAAACTTTTTCTTCAGCATTTGATGATTTTATTAATGATTTAAGATATTTTTTCTGTGAAAATTTATTTTTGAAGGAACAGTCGATTTTTTTATTATGAATTTTAAGAAATAAGAATAGATAGCGAGGTTTAGTATTGTCTTTTTAAAAAAAACTTGATATGTTGAGATTGTCTATGTACAAGGATGTCAATATTTATTTGTTTTATTGCAAGGTCGAATAAAAGTCTTACGTTTATACTTTCAACGACTATTGACCAGTTAGCGTGACCAGTTAGCAAGTTTCTCTTTTTAGGCTCTCTAGATCGTAAATTTGAACAGACCAGCAATTAAGTTAATTGTAAATTATCAAAGAAAATAATAGGAATTAGGATATAATGTTGGGGTGTCAGAAACATCTCTCGCGAATAATTACGTTAAAAGAAGATCACAAGTAAGATCGCGAGTAATAGAGTTAAATCCTCGAAAAAAGACCTGCTGAAATGTTGTCGGAGATAGGAACGCTTTTATTTGAATTTTCAGCGTCCCGTATTACCAGGAACCACGATACAAGCGGGAGCTGCCTCTGGATATCAACCCTGATGATGTGTTGGCCCTCCTATCACTGTGGGAAAACGAACAGCGTAACGGGTAATCATCGTTTTTCAAATCTTTCACAGTTTTCCCATAAATATATGCTTAATTCATCAATCTCATTTTTATTCCATGAATAGAAACTGGCGCAAGTATGCTAACGATGAATACGAGATAGACGACAGCGATTTCCTTGACGAGGAAGACTCTAGAAACGGTTCGTGTTGATAACTGTCCGATTCTATAATTATGATTCAGCTACACGAAAATAAAAATAATAAAAGGATAACGAATTTTTTTAGCGAAGATTTCTACTTCTTCATCAGTTTTGTATCCTTTTCTGTATTCCTTTATAGCTCTCCCATGGTTGACGCCAGTGTACCCCTCGCGGCACTACGACACATTGTCGCCCTCTGACATCGGGATAGTCCGAACTCACCCCCCCAGCTATTACGAGCAGTACGGAAAACAGCTGGATCAGCAGTATGAAGGCCCCGCGCAATATGGCAATCACGTTAATCCGCAGTACGATTTCCTTTATCCTCAACGTACCGCATACTATCCCCAGAAGAGGTTCATAGTGTCCAAGAAACGAACGCAGGTGAATTAAATTCGACAATCGCTTCGAGCCAACTAATATAGCACAGAAGCTTGCGTCAACATTTGCAATATTACTGTAATATTGTTGGAACATTGCAAATATGACTATAATATTGCTAGAATGATCTGTGCTATATGAGAATTTTCAATAGAGAGCTTGAGTAAAAAAAGAATAAAAGTAGACAAAAGAAATTGTCGAAAAATGCCTTTTTTCCTATACTTTCAGGGCTATGATGCGTATCCCGCCGCTGAGCTGCAGTTGAGCTCCCAACCGCGAAGTTATCAGTACCCCCATCGAATGGTCTACTAAGTAATCTGTGACATTGGGGCCTGTCTAGAGATGCATGAAGAAAAGCGAGAAGTTCCGGACGGAGATTCAACTAGAAGGAAAAAATGTTAGCAGCCAATGTTTCTCCGGGAGTCGGCGCTCTTTCGACGAACGGCCCTTGCTGTCGCTCCTCTTCAATTATCCTCCCTTTCTATCGCAGGAGGTAAAACAAGCAGCAGTCGTGACGACGGCGACGATGCGGATTTACTCGTTCTAAGAAAATCACGGTGCTCACAGAGAGAAGCTTTCCTCGGGTTTACAAGAGCCGCGCTGAAGAACCGAGGGACGTGATAATGACAGACCTTCCTTGATCCAGACTTTCTTTAGTCCAAGTACCTCGGAATATAAAAAGTGACAAATTCGCATTTAGAATATGGCATTTTATTATTGCAACGATAATCAGCATTCAGGTCTTTTACAGAGGCCCGTTTAACACGAATTTTATGAGACAACGTGTGAAACATATCAGAGTCTACGACTCAATATCCGATACAATTTTCTGTGTCAGCTGATCGAAAAGATCGATTGGTTTCGTCGAGCTCTTTTTCAATCCGACCGCGATGACGGTTAAAAAGTAAAGGAAAAAAATAACTTCAGCGCGCTCTTGTTACTTACTCGCTTAATGGTAATGTTACGATTTTAAGCTCCTTTTGCGTGTAATACGGGCGACGCGCTCGTAATGACGCTACGACTGAATTATTAAACAATCGTAGTACCAAATCAAATTATCCTCAGGCTTGATTTCGACAACTTCGTGACTGATATAAAATATGCATATATATAAATAAATATATATAT